ACAAACTAAATCCATCCAGTTTTGCCTCTGAAACAATCCTAAAGTTGTTTCCTCAAGGGAGACTAAAAATACATCTCGGTCAGCATCCGTCAGTATAAATTCCTTTGACAAATCTAAATTTTGATCAAATTTCCTTTCCCCGACTGTCACTAGCTTCAGTCGAAGAAAATCGTCTATGTCAAAGATTTTATTATCTTGCAGAAATGTAAAGAAATAGTCGTCGCCTTGGCACGCCTTGACAACACTCGATGCTCTGATTGGCTTGCTTGATTTATTGGCAGCTCGTACATCCACATTCCGGAAAGAAAACATCGTTCGGAGATCGATCTCTGAGTCTAGGTTTTTTAAAAGCGCACTCGACTTCAGTTCGCTCAGTGGTGCACATGCGCCTTTGTACGCCACACCACCAATCACAAAATAAAAAAGCACCACTATCAGCATGACGGATATCGCACAAAATATCAAAACCATGCCTCTGCCAGGACAATTTGTATTAGTTAAGGGAGCTCTTTAATAATCTCAGAGCACTCACAGTATCAAAATGTACGATGCCATCTTTGTAGTGAAATACTCATTGCTCGCTCCGGTGGGACGTTTTGCCAGACATCCGATAACCAAAGCCACAATCAGGACTGACAGTATCTAATTAGGAATTTTGGGCTTAGATTGGAGGAACCAGACACGCAGACATTCACTACACATTCATTTAGGTACTCACCACAAAGAGAGCTACAGATATATATTGAACGACAAAGTTGCGTGTTTCATTAAATTTATCGTAAAGATCCTCAAACGCCCTGCTCGCACGTAAAGTGGCAAGATAAATGTCACTTATGACCACATCAATTATTTCTTCTATTCTCCTCGACTCCTCAGCTAAAATCAGCCTTGCCTTACGAATGTCTCGAATTATTGGTGGTGAGACTCGTTCCAACTCGTCCTTAATCTTTTGACTAACAACACGGAGACGCGGCAGCCATTTTTTGTGTCGAGTCCCAATCGTTTTTTGGAATTCAATCAGATCATCATGCATTGCTACCGCATCGGGCCACTAGATAGAGAGTAATTGCAAAGATTCCGTAATGTTGGTATTGGTAAGTATTCACCTCATCCAAGTGTAGGCATCTGCTTGTATCCACAAACTCAATTCCTGAGGTTTGCAGAAACTTCATGCATTCAAAACTGCCACAGAGAACCACCGCCGCATAGTTAATGTCGCGCTTTATTGCCCGGAGACCTGAAAACAACATCCAGTGGTAGTGAATATAACCAAAAAGTGAATATACAAAGAACGAGCACGAACTATAGTGCCTTGTACTCTCCCTATCCATCATCTCTACACCTAATGACAAATATTCTAGCTGCTTCCATACCGCACAGTCCGTTACATCTCGATATCTACCACTCTCTCTATTTCCCCCAATGAGTGGGAGAGAATACGAGCTCGCGACTAGGGAGTCAGCCATTGGATTGTTTTGTTCATTCTGACTAAAATAGAAATGATTGTGTGACAGTGTGATATCTTCCTAAAACATAACACTACGATAGGAGTCTGCAAACAAAATTCCGCCGATCTAGCTCTTATAGTCTCTGAGATCTAGGCCTCAAACGGAACGGACATACTTTGTACACATTTATTGATTATAAGCATAGCTTAGGATTCTTACTAAGAAGATTTTATTGTACTTCATACTTTAGAATTGTTAACGAGAGGCTGAAATAGTGCGGTACCAGTCTGTTGTTGTGTTCATGAGATGAACCCGCTGCTCTTGAAACATCCTTTTTATACCCGATACTCAAAATCAGTATAGGGGTATATTAGATTTGCGGTGAAAATGGATGTGTGTAACGTCCAGAAGGAAGCTTTTCCGACCCCATAAAGTATATATATTCTTGATCAGCATCAATAGCCGAGTCGATTGAGCCCTGTCTGTCTGTCCGTCCGGTCGTCCGTCCGTCCGTCTGTCCGTCTAGTGCACAGAGACTATAAGAGCTGGAGCAACGACATTTTTTATCCAGTCTTTTGTGATATGTCGCTGTTACAAGTGTATTTTAGAACTTCGCCCCGCTCACTTCAACCCCCTCAAAGGAAAAAAATCTTTGGCATCACCAATTTTAAAGATACGAGAAAAGCAAAGGAGCAGAATGTAGAGAATGACAATATCTACATATGTATGTACATGTATCTACATAAATGACTCCTTCTATGTGGTTCAGTGATTTTTGTTTGAAAGTTACTACGTCGATATCTGTCATTTTAGCTAGAGCTGTCTCTTATGCTGGCTGTGTAGATATATTTACATACATACATATGTGCTAAATTTATGATATACATATGTATACATATCTATACTTTATGGGATCAAAAATGATTCCTTCAGCATGTTACATAAATCCTCATGAGTTTCTCTTTGGTTACCGGGTATAAATACAATTTTTATCTTACCATTTCTTAGTTTATTTGCATAATCCATACCAACATATGTTTCGTCACTAAGCCATACCAAAGCCCTAGTGGTTTTATAAAATGAAAGATAAGAGATATGTCCGGCTAGTTCCGCAATGGAATTACCCTCTGCGACATCGCTTAAGTCCCTAAACAAATGTTTCGGTGCATCTGTGGTGGTTGGGGTATAAATAAATACATACATACATATATGAGATTAGAGAAGAGGTAAATTGAATTACGTCATACCCATGATAGTACTGATCAGATGTGTCGACAGCTCCTCATAGTTTTTCACAAACAAATGATGAACATGATCGCTGACATCCTTCAGAAAGTTGCAAGTGTCTATGCTACCCATTTCAAGAGTCTTTTTAGTGTTTTCTAGGCCGCGCTCTAGCATGCCATTTGAGAGGACGGCCAGGACCATACTACCACTGTTAACTCAGAAAGAAAGAACAAATAAAAATAAAGAACGAAAGAAAAGAAAAAATTAATCCGCATTCGGGATAAAACAGAGCCATAACCTACGCGATTAATGGAAGGATCATAATCAAGCAGGTGCTCCAAAGAAGAGTTTTCCTCATATTTGAACCCGAATGGCAAGCTGGACATCCCAGCGAACAGCGATGGCAACATAAGCAGAAATACACAACACTGTTCCATGCGAACAAGATAAGCATGTCATTAATGGTTTTGCGAAAAGATACAACATGATGTACTCACCCTACAAAGGGTGCCAGGATAATCACAACAACCAAAAAGAATATCCAAAACCACATAAGCCAAAATGCGTTTAACCAACCCGCCCAATCATCCTTTATAACTTTCGGCCCCAACCTCATGTTGTCGTTACCGAAGTCCGTTATGAAGCCTGGATCAAATATTTGATTACGTTCACTATTAACCAGAAATCATCAAATCGGGTCTCACTTACCTCTTGGCATGGTCGGATCAAGTGGAAACATTTTGTCAAAAAAGGTTCGCGAAAATTTGAAAACAATATCCACCCACATTTTTGTGACATTCTGTCTCTTGGAGTAATTCATTGAAGGCTCGAACCTTGAGTATTCAATACTGGGAAAGTGCAGTACCCCCATTTGCTCGTGAGAGGTGCCATGTCCCGAATATCCTTTGCGCCAATATGAGAAAGGGGGATCATCTGGTGGGTTTGCACTGGCGGTACTCTCATAAACCCGAGTGACCAGCACAATCAGAAGTATAGCCGCACAGAGAGTGGCGGTCGTCAGAGTCCCCTCCATTTTTCGCTCTCTTCTGTTCCTGGCACAATTAGCCACGGGTCTAATCCGTTTAGACTCCGTAATTATACATTCGGTCATTATCTCTAGGGTTCTGTTCTTTAAATACCTCCGACCGCGAATATCAAAAAATCAAACTTATGTTCATATACTAAAGGAAGACTTTAAGTTAAATATAGACGGGAGAACCATCATATGAATTCGTCAAACCACAAACAAAGCTTCATGCTCGTACATAACACTCACCAAGTTTATAGAGATAGCATCCTCAGATGTAAATAACACTTAATTTTTAATTTACCAAAAATTTCGAGCTGGTATTGAAAATTTACAAAAATTTTTTTGTTCGTTTCTCTTTTATTTCAATCAAAACTAAGTATAAGATTAAATTCAGAAGCTACTGAAATAAAAAAAATCTGCTTAACAGAAGAAAATAAAAACAATGACACTAGATTTAGCTTAGGTTAGGGACGAAACCTCCCTCCAGCGCAACCCCGCCAGCAGCAGTATCCAACGACAAGCTCATCAGCAGCAACACTGTATTTATTTTAGCACTGCTACCACAAGCAGCAACGACCGCTGAGTATACCTATCCAGACTAGTCCTGGCCTCCTGCTGCGGCATCCTGCAGGGGAAGCTAGTACCACGAGCAACAATCAGTCAGCGCAGGCTAATGGGCCAGCAAGGTATCGCTTTTCATAATTACATAAAAATGTAGTTATTATGTAGCGAATTTGTAGTTAGTGTGTAGTTACCATGTAAGGAAATTAATTTAGTGAAAATTGTGTTTTGCTTAAACCATATTTCATAAACAACCCAATAAACATGAGAACTTAAAATTAGCCAGTCTTATAGAAAAGTGATTCATCAATTGGATAAAATTATGAGTTCAGAGCTGAAGGTCCTGACTAGCTTGTAATATTCAACCGAATATCAAAAACGAGGAATATGATTTACTATCATGGACAGCGAACGATTAACCCATTTTAGACCAGAAGGTAATATAACACACTTTACGAAAATTATGAAACTTGATGAATTTTAACGTAGTTCAGATAAAAGATATTTTGGTATTATTTGTTTTAAGAAAAGAGTAGGGGATGGATCTACAAGGAACATTTAAAAGCAGTATTATTATCGCGGTTTATCTCAACCTAATTTAACCTGTTTAATTACAGGGGGGTTAGGTGGGCTAAAGAGCCAAGAAAAGAGACGAGAAAAGTAAGCAAATTTTATACGTCAACTTGTGCGGCTAAGTCATTTGACAATTGTTTTCCAACTAATTCCAGTAAAAAATGGCTTCATTCCTGGCACGAACCGGCGGACCACTAATCGAGTCCGTTAGACCCAAGACCGTTCAAAAGGTAGGTGCAGTGCAGTATGGATTTATTTGCCATTTAAGCAAATGCAAAATAAGTCACTTTATATAATAATGGCAAAAAGAGACACAACGGCAAGGGTGAAGAGGGGCCGCTTTCGCACTCACTCACGCATACAGATGTGGATAATGGAGCATGACCAGCTGTCAGAGGGGCTGTCTGTGCTGTTGTGTTGCTTAGAAAAGTTTTCAATAATTTCGTGTGCAGTTGAATTTCATTAAAAAAAGTAAAGTAAAAGCAAACATTTGTAAGTGGTAAAGTCAATGATACATATGTAAAGCCCCGATCCGATTAGTTTGCACCTAGAGACAGCTGGCAGCCACCTGACTAGCGGTGTGTCAGTGTGACGCAACACTGCAGTGCCTGTGCGTCTATGTGTGTGTGTGTGTGCTTATGCTTGAGAGTGTGCTAATGGATAACGGTGAATAGACCTTGAATTCTTTAATTTTCTCTTTATTCAATTTTTTATATCAATGAGCATATGAAACCTGTTGCTTTAAGTGTCGTGGCCTGGTCGCACTAATTAAAATTCGTATCTATGTGAATTAGTCTTAGTTATCGTCTAAAATACACCATTTACCGTAAGAGCTTCTATTAACCCACTTTTGATTTCGTTTTTGTTTTTGTTTTTGTTGGGTTGTTGGGTTGTTGGAGGGCAGGGATGAGTTTTTCTATGATTCATGGAACCGTATTCTCAGGGCGTTTGTATTCTTTATACATGCTATCTAATATATGTGTGTACATACATATGTAAGACAATCAATTCTCTTATCCTTCGCAGATCCTCAGCTATGCTCCCGTTGCGCTGCAACAATTGCGAAACCTGAACGTGCAGGAACATGTCTCGTACACTCTCCTCAACGAAAGTGGAATCCCAACACCGCGGTAAGAATGGACACTAATCAAAGTATCGGTCCAAAGTGCAAACAACGCGCCGCGTTGTCGCTGACGCTTTATATTGGACTTTAGCCAGAGTAACACTGCACCGATTAGCGATTGGCGTACGAAACGAGTCATAATTTGCATTAATTAACTGGCCTGGGTCTGGGGTAAACAAACCAATGAACAGACCTTGACCGAACGAAGACCGAGAATAACTGCAGATGATAAGGGGAGATAAGGTGTAACATATGTATATGTAGTGTAGATCGCATGAAATGACAAGGGTCAGTGACGTGGGCAGAGATAAGTCCGTGATTGTTATACATTTGGGAATTGAGAGTAGCAGTCATCATATATGTGGATTATTGAGCAGACGGAAGGCCATAATCGTACGATCATATTTTCTATGGGAATCACTTCTGTCATCTAAATGACCGATCAACCTTGAAATATACAAATTTCCAGCCTTCACAGGTTACAAATTTGACTTTGATGAGGCTGCTAATAATATACTATAAATAGGGCTTCTTTATCAATTATTTGTTATTACCATAAGGTATTCAGCATTTTTTTTAGGAGTTTAAGATCCTTTAAGAACTTGATTTAACTTTATTTCTTCTATCCCTTACAGCTTCGCTGTGGCCAAGAATGGCAAGGAGGCGAGCGATATTGCCAACAAGCTTAAAACAGACAATCTTGTGCTCAAGGCGCAAGTTCTGGCCGGCGGTCGCGGCAAGGGAACTTTTAAGAATGGCCTAAAGGGCGGCGTGCGTGTGGTCTACGAGTAAGTTAATGTTTAAGTGTTGTAGAATGCTAAAATTAATGTTCTTTATTTAGTGCCAAGACCGCCGAGGATATTTCCTCAAAAATGATTGACCAACTCCTGATTACCAAGCAAACCGGAGCCGCTGGTCGCATCTGCAAGAAAGTGATGGTTGCCGAGAGGAAATTCCCCCGCCGTGAGTTCTACTTTGCCGTCATGATGGAGCGTGCCTTCAATGTGAGTTGAATCATGTAAAATTCGAAAGGAAATACAACTAGAGAAGTGCTTTGCAGGGTCCCGTTTTGATTGCCTCGAAGGAGGGTGGCGTGGATATTGAGGAGGTGGCCAAAGAGAACCCCGATGCCATTATCTACGAACCCATCGACATTGCCAGGGGTCTGACCGAAGAGCAGGCATGCAAAATTGTCGAGAAAGTCGGCCTTGGCGGCGACGGTGCCGATGAGCATATCAAGATGCTGCTCAACCTATACCAGCTGTTCGTGAAGAAGGATGCTCTCTTGGTGGAGATCAATCCCTATGCCGAGGATGCCATGAGTGGCTGTAAGTTCTCTAAATGTGTTCGTGTTAAGTGTTCTTTTATTTAATCCATTTAATGCATGTAATCCTATCCCAAAAACACCTAACCCATTCCCAACTGTAAAAAACCATGGATTTCATATTTTTCTGTCCAGGCTGTGAGTATGCATGAAACCGTTATTCCATCAATTAAGCAATCAAATCACTATCTGAATCCGTATATCCATTATCAAATCTAATAAATTTCAAAACATTCTTAAAGTCTTTGCATTGGACGCCAAACTGCGGTTCGATGACAATGCAGAGTTCCGTCAAAAGGAGCTGTTCTCTATGCGGGATTGGACCCAGGAGGATCCCAAGGAAGTGGAGGCAGCCAAATACAATTTGAATTACATTGCTCTAGACGGCACCATCGGCTGCATGGTGAACGGTGCCGGTTTGGCCATGGCCACAATGGACATCATCAAGCTGTACGGAGGGGAGCCGGCCAACTTCCTGGATGTGGGTGGCGGAGCCACTGCCGATGCTGTTAAGGCTGCCTTCAAGATCATTACCTCCGACAGGAAGGTGCTCTGCCTGTTGGTTAATATCTTTGGCGGCATTATGCGTTGCGATGTCATTGCCGAGGGCATTATTGCTGCTGCCAAGGATCTGAATCTTAACTTGCCCATTGTTGTGCGCCTCCAGGTGAGTTGGAAATGATATATATCTTTAATTTTTGGTAGAATACCACGTATAATAATATTCTTAATAGGGCACCAAAGTGAAGGAGGCTCGCGAACTTATACGCGCATCTGGTCTGAAGATTTTGGCACGTGACGATCTCGACAAGGCGGCCGATCTGGCTGTGCATTTGGCCCAGATTGTAAAGTTGGCGCGCGAAATGAAAATGGATGTGAACTTTGAGATTCCCGCCGACCAAAAGTAGATAAATCATGATAAATAATGGCTAAGTCAACTATCTTACTACCACAAAGCAAAAACCAAGTCAAACTCTTACTCAACGTGGAACCACACACACAAAAAACAAAACAAAACTACTCAATGGAAGAAACGCCATAGCTTTGTAGTTAGAGAACATTATGTATTCGTTACGATCGGTCGAAATAATTGATGAATGATGATAATTTTGCAAAAATGTTTAGTTTAAAGTTTAAACAACCCATAAAGTCGTAATTGTTGATAGTCCAGTCATAAGATATATGGCTAGATAATTCGAATAATCCATCACGTTGAGTGTTCTCTTTGCACCTAAACAACAATTTGTGTATCTATTATCACCATTAAAGTGCACGAAACAGATAGAGTAAAAATTAAGGAACAAATGCCATCGGTCCAATTGTGATTTTTGACAAATTCAATTAACTTTTATTTATTGAGAAATTGCGAAACTGCTTCGGAAGTAGTTCCCTAGATTCAGATTGTGTATTATTTGTGCAATTTAGTTTGCTTCAAATTAAAACTCAAAACAATCATAAAGCTTAACACATTTTTATTGGTTAATTAGTTAATTTCAATCATAATTCATTTCTAATATATAAATCCATTTGCTGTATACCCTTAGGGGCAAGGGCAAGAAGAAGGAATGTAAGGAAGAGAAAAGCAAGAAAGAGGAAGAGAAATGCAAGAAAAAGTAATCCAAGAACATCTGCGATTAGCCAACAATAAAAAAACTCAACAAAAATGGCCTGGCCAAAATGGGAATCTACAAGGATTAACAAGCCAAAAGTGCAATGGTTTGCTGGAAAAACAATGGGAGTGTGCAAGCCAATTTTAAATTTCTAAAAATTCAAATTTTACCGCTTAAAAATGTTTAACATTTGATGAACTTTTTTTGAATTTTCCCGAGTAAAAGTTTTGATAGACATTTTTGTTTGTTTAAGGTTCAAGAATAGTTTTTGTGGTTTATTACGTTGTCTTAGAAACGATCGACTAGAGATAGTATGTGGGTCTGTTCCTGTTGCCGCCAGTCAGTGTCGCCATCGCCCAGATTGCCAGCGTATTCTATAATCGATAAAATGAAGCATGGTTTTGATTAGATACCGGGAAAAATTACCCCTCATGATGCTCCTGATGGTCTTCATTGAGGCCCCACGTAGGTTTAGAATCTGTAGCACACGTTGCTTGACCGTCTCCGAGGTGGAACTGACCTCCAGCAGTATGTAGTCGATGCGCTGGAGCGTGAAGAGGCCGCCAGTCAAGCGCTTTATATAGTTATTCTCCGCCTCCTCGTCCTCATCGATGCTGGGATCCTGTTAAAAAAGATTTAATTAGTTTTATATCACGATAGAATCTCAAGTAAAAAGTGTATAGCAACCGTAGGCTGCTGATCAATCTCCTTATCGATGGCCTCCACCTTGGCCAAATATTTGAGATGCAGTTCCAGTAGACGATCCACCTTCTCGTAATCGTTCTCGCTGAATTTGGACAGCATACGCTGGCGATGGGTGCCCTTGCAGTTGCGTAGCATCGAGGCAATGACGGAGCTGACATGCTCCTCATGCTCATCGGCCGACAGCAGACGTAGCTTGTTCCGTTTGGGTGTCTTCATGAACAGTGGGAAAATGGTGCGCAGTCCGAGGATCTCCACGAATTTGTTGCAATTGTCGCGACCATCCTGGCCGGCCATAGCATGATCGAGTACCTTTAGCGAACCGTTGCGGGACATTTTCTTCTCGCGCAGCATCAGATTCATTAGCTGCAGTCCCTCGCCGTTGAGGAAGCGATCGCGATTCTCCTTGGCCATCAGAGCGGAGCAAAGGCAATTGAAGAGATTCTGCATGTACTCCTGCTCCTCGTTGCTTGCCGGATCGTGACGCTTGTAAACAGCCAGCTGTTGGAGCAGCACATCGACTCCTTCGATCGAGCCGAGCAGAAGGCGATTGTCGTTCTCCGTTTGTATCAGGATGGACAGAATCTCGCTGCAATACAATTTGTTCGGATCAAAGGGAGTCTTGCCCTTGAGGCGTTTTAGCAGCCATGCCAGCAGCCCCTGCTCGGCAGCTTCTCGCACGAATTCGCCATCGATCTCTGTGAGGTTCTCCACGATGGCCAATGTGTTGTGTACACCGTCGGCTTCCTCCTTCACCTGCTCGTTGAGACGTTCCAGGTTCTGGACTAGCAAAGCGCAGATTTGTTCCTTCCGCAGGGCCTCGATCAAGGCCTGGGCTCCCTCTTGACTCTCACCTAGAATATCGACATCGGTCACCTCCTGCAGCAGATCGACAATGGCCACAGCAATGTCTGTGTTCTGATGTGCAAGCAGCTCCAGCAAACTGTGCAGTCCGTGCAGCTCCACAAGCAGTGGATAGAGATCTGGTACGGTGGCCACGCCTTTCAGCTCCTGAATGACTGTATGAAGCTCAAGTTCGGAGTCCATGAACTTTTCGGGATTTTCGACAAACTTGATGCGCATCTCCTGGTTCTTCAGGTTGCGCTTCTCGAATACCAAGATCAATTTTTTCAGCCCCTGCTCATCCAAAACATCGCCATCGGTCTCCTCGTTTTCCACATAACGCATGATGTTCAGCCGCTCTTCTTCTGTCAATTCTGGGTCTAGTTCGAATGCGTTGCTGGCTGTGGTGGAGCTGCTGCTGCCCTGTTTTCCATAATTGGCCGTCTCCTTGGCCTCGGCAATGCGCCGAATGCGTTTGGCCTTCTCATCGCTACCGCCACCGCCCCGTTTTCCAGCGGTTGTCTCTGGCTCAAAATCTTCATCGTCCTCGTGCGGTCGTTTTGGGGTCTGCTCAGGCTGGTAGGAACATATGTTCTTGGTTGTGAATGTTTATTCGAAAGACGAACAAATATACCTACCTTGAAGGCCAACAGTTCGCCGATATCCATCTCGGTTTTATCCCAATTTAAAAAAACAATTTTACATTTAAGGAGTTAGGGATGCTAAATATATATTGATATGTACATTAAGATATCGATATATATCTTCCCTGTTCGATAATAGATATGAAGACTAGACTGAAAAACAATAATATGATATGAATTTTTTCTGGAATATATCATCAAATGAACAACTTTTTTAGTTCAAGGAAATCGAAACTATTTTTCTGTTGCTAGACGCGATAACACTGTATGATTTATATTGCTGGTTTCACACTTTTCAATTGAAGTGTAGTGTAGGTGAAAAAAATATCGGTATTTTTGTGCGATAGGCGGACCGAATTTGGCGGTTACATTTTAAAAATAATAATATTGCCGACATCCGATTTTTTATTGTTTTTTTTTAAATACTAAAAGAATCACCTCTGAAAATACATTTTCAAAATAATAAAACACAAGCTGTACTTTTACAAATCGTTTCGAATGTTTTTATTATAAGTTAAGAAAGTCATAAATTAATACAAAATTAATTAAACTAACTGATGAGACAGAATAAAGCGCAGAGCGAGAGAATTGAAAGACTGTTGCAAAGAAGTAGCTAAGCCTGAAAAACTCTTTTAAGGACACTCACAATCGGAAAGTTACTAGTACAAAAGGTATCAGGAGCAGAACCGCATCATAAATCATCGTTTCGTCCCAGGTTAGCTCCCATTTTTAAGAAAATATCATTTTTGGTTTATTTGGAGAGTCGCTGCTCCATCTAGCCCACTTCCCAATTGATCTCAAATACGCAGATTGGGGTTTGTATAGCGCACGTACTTCAGCAGGGCATCGTTCTCTTCGCAGACAAACGACTTCTTATGGTGGCAGGCCACATCGTGCCAGTTGACACCATCGTTGTAGAACTGGTTCAAGAGAGCCAGACAATTCTCCGGTGCACCATTCTGCTTGAATTCACGGTTATCGGGCTGGGGCAGGCCAATGCCGCCGGTGGGAGACCAATCGCCCTGGGAACGCTCCGTGCTGGGGGCCAACTTCTGCAGAGTGGCGGTCCAGAACCAGCCGTTAATGTTCGTGGGCTGCAGATCGGGACGGTCACAGCCCTTGAAATCGCACAAGCGACCGCTGGTCCAGATGTATTTCACCTGACAACGAAAAGGATTAGAGATTAGAATTGTAGTAGCTATTTTTGACTGCTTAAGCACCCCTACTACATTTAATGTTAATACTTGAAGAGAGGCCAAAACCAAATACATACATACATATATCTAAAGTTCATTGCTCTTTTGGAGGTGTTAAAACATGCCTATGCAAGAAAGTGCAGCGTTGGCATCGAATCAAACTGGATAAAAGCGACAAATTACAATAGAAATTTAAGTTGGTAACTGTTTTGGGCCTGTCACGCCCAAACAACTATTATTTAGCGCTGAAAGCGAACCCATTCCCAATCCAAATCCCAATCCCGTGCCATGTCCGCGCCCTTCTGCTGGCTGCCGCACCCGAGGCTGTCAACATTTCAAGTGAACAAAACCACAAAGGTCTGCGCCCATCAGTCACTTTCACCAGATGGGCCATAAAAATTGTTTTGTTAAAAAGGTATAAAACGAAAAAAAAAAAAAAAAAAAAGGAAAAAACCCCCCAGAGACAAGCGGCAGACAGACAGGCAGACAGTCAGAGATGGTAAGGTCTACCGTCTAGCCTTTTGGGAAAACTCCAATGAGCGCAGAGCTGAAACAAATTTATGGAGATTGATTTTGGGTTTGGTTTTGGTCGGTTGCCGGCTGGCTCATCAGGCTACGAAGGAGAGGGTGGGGCATTGCGTCGCTATTGTAATTGTTCAAATCGGACAGTCGAATGCATTTGCCCCATAGCGGAAGCACCAAATGAATGGTGCTTTGTGCCTGCCACCTGTCGGCTGCATTCAATTGTAATGCAAAGTAAAAGTGAACTTAACCGGTTGATATGTATGTCTGGAGGTGGAGGACACAACAATCCATTAGGAAAGTGGGTTTGTTGGATAGGCATAGAGCCAAAGAGGAAAGAGTATTCGAAAGTTGGAGCCAAAAACTGGCTGAAGTGGGTGACGGAAGAACTTTCTCAATTGAAATGGGTTAAGATATCAAATAATCTTTGGAAGATCTTTGTAAGATCTGCAGGGTGGAGAATGAATGATTTCATGATTTTTTGATTTTTTGCTATCTACTGAACTATTTTGGAACGTCCTTTAAGTTATAGAAACAGTTATACTATATTTATTAGCTTATACTTCTTGAACCAAAGACATATTTAAAATATTCCAAAATTGTTCATATATATCTGTTTTTAGCCTCTGACAAGTTTGTGGCTTTAGTCTTCTCATTGGAAAATTTCACTTCCTCCTTGATTAGTCGCAAAATTTGGTGTGAAATGAATCCGTTTGCGTGCTCAAAATTTGCTAATTTGTTAAGTAATTTCATTTAGATGGTTTTCCGCCAAGGTTTTCCCACCAGACACCACAAACACACACACACACACAACCAAACTTTCGTTTTCAATTTTGCCGCTTTCTCACGTAACTCAGGCATGAGAAGAGCAGAGCCATTGGATGCGAGCTGCGAGATGGGATGGTGGACGGTAAATGGTAGATGGAAGATGGAGAGATGAGAGATGCGATTGGGAGGGGAGAGATGAGCCTACCTGACCACAACGCTAAACTTGACACTTGTTCGTCTCGATGGGATGGGATGGGATGGGATGGGATTTTCTGTTGCATAAGTCATCATCAGGCGACTGACTCCATGCATTCGTGTGCGAAATTGCCCCGACCGACAGCTGGGAAAAGTTTTTGTTGTATTTTTATGTTTTTGATGTGGTTTTGTTTATGTGTAATTTCACATTGAACTTTGTAGTGCGATGTTAATGGGAGATTTCGCAATTAATTTTTGTTATGTTGTGCATCCGAAAAATTAAGGTCAATCTCAAGTTGTGAGATCTCGGAAATGAGAGCCTCACGTCCCTTACCCAGAGTTCACATGTGACATGTGACTAAACGAAAGTCAAACACAACTCAACTCCAACGAGAAGTGACATAATGTCATGTAAAAACCAAAAATAACCATCGAAAAAACTGTTCAGCGACCGACATCATAAATTATTGGCAAACCTCTTTGACTTCCAATTCATTTTGAAGGTGTAAAAATCCACATCACATTGATATGGTTTAGTTTTATTAATGAGGTGCACGGGCAACATAAAAGTATATTTAAATATATGTACATATATACATATACACACATTCGTAAAGGTAACACCTTTCGATGGTGCGGTTCACAAATAGCCCATGAGTTGCAGAAATGTTTCTGTTATTTCGATGGATTGGATCTATTTGTTGGATCAATCAAACCTCAACAAGTTGATCAAGCAGGTGCCGTGAATGTGGGGCCAATTTTTATTGTCTGGCCTGTGTCTGGACTTGGGCTGAATGTCTGGTCGAGTGGGGTTTATATAATAATTGGGTTTTGGGGTGTCCGTAAACGTGTATTTGAAAACAATTCAACAAATACATATGTATATTCAGTTGTTTTTGGGTAAGTTTTGCTTTGAAGAAATGTGAGTATAATATTTATCACATTTAAGGTGTTAATGCAACATTTTTTGCAAATAGAAAATTGTAAAATTTGTATAATTTTTTGAGTGGAATTTTTATTGTTTTATGAGATTCTAATAAAAATAGAAAATAATTGTATTTGCCACCTTTATGCAACTAATATTTTTGGGTCCCGACAACATTTTTAAGAGTTGTATTCGAAAATTAACCTTATTTCTTTCCTTACTTTTTTGAAAGATTTTATTCATAATACAAAGAACTTGAATAAAAAATGATGTATATTTAAAACCATTTTCCTCTACTCTCGAAAAGGCCCCAATAATAGGGTTTGTTGCTTGAGTCTTTTAATTTCCATTGGAAATCAAATATAATTATTGATTAACCAAATTTATATTTATAAATAGAACCTCTATTGTATGGAAATCATGAGCATATCCGTATTTTAATTACTCTATGACACAGTTTTTCCCAAGACAATGAGAAACTCAAATTATAAAAATTAATGAGAAATTGCTTTCCATCTAAAGTACTTTAATCCACAAATGTTTGTGATATTTTCTTCTCCATTAACCCCCTCCCAAGTATTTTACACTCTACTTACATTCTCGCCAACGACACGCTGCTTGATCCATTCGTTCTCCAGGCTCGTCTCCAGCGACACGGAGTCCATGCAGCGTCTGCGGCAATAGTTCCTGGCCGTTAGCCAGTCCTCCTCGACGCCCTTCAACTGAGGGTCACGCCAAGAGAAGAAGTATCTAATGAATCACAAAATAGAGAACAGAAAGAAGGAAATCATTTAGCTATAAGAATTTCCCCGATATGAACTCTGGCACTCACCCCTTGCCATCGGGAGTCTTCTCGTGGATGATGCGCTGTGCGCACAGCTGGGGATTTGGGGGCTCCAGGCGACCGTTCTGGAACTGAGCGGAGCCCAGGCCCAGCACACTCAACAAACACACTCCGGCGACAATGAAAGCTTTCATTTTCTCTGCTTCTTTCTTTTCAACACTTTATTAAGACACGCACACGCACGCACAATCTGTGGGAATTCAACTGTTTTCTGGTACACGCGACCGTTTGACCGTTCGACTAGCTCTGATCAACTGGGAATGACACAAACATTTTGTCAGCACCCCGATTTATATATGGCCAAAGCCTCAGCAACGGCCTCAGCCACAGCCACAGCCACGCCACTCCACTCCACTCGATTCGATTCGGACAGAGATACTCGTACAGAGAGTGAGAGACAGAAGAGAGCTCGTGCCAGGCCCAATGTGGGGGTTTGGCTTGCCGATGGAGAGGGTCTGGTTTTTTGAGTGTGGAAAATTTGTTGGCCGCTGCGACTGCGTCTGCGTCTGCCTCTGCGTTGCATGCAATCTTGAATGTTAAGTGGCCGAAACTGGAGAGGTGGATCGCATCGTTTTTGCACCACTTAGCTTTGAATGGGCTCCAATGGATTGGCCTAACTCCCCATCTAATTAGCCACACAAATACCCCAGAGTGTCCCCTGTTTTTGTTTTTGTTTTTGTTTTTGTTTTTTCTGTTTTCTTTTTGGCACAGCAAATTCGTATTTTGATGGTATTTGTCTTCAGACAATTTGCATAATTGAATGCATTTCGAGCCATTGTTTGCTGTGTTTTTCGTATTTGTTTTGTTTCAGAAATATGTATGTATTTTACCATTGCTTTTGTCGTTTTCGTGGGTTGGTTGCATAATCCTGAAGCTTGAATTGTTGATCAGAAATTGATTTGGAATGAAAGCCGCAAGTGACATACTATTTAGAGCTCTACTTTTAAATACTGGGACTTTTTTTTGGGTATTGAAAGAAAGATTCGTCGGTATTAGGTTCAGAGGAGATTCTGTCACCGCCTTTAATAGATTTTTCAACCCCTACATGACCGATTATGAGCCAGAGTTCAGTTCTGGAAATCAAATGTAGTCTTTTACTTATCCCCGAACATCTACGGGTGTGGTTCGTGTCCCGTGTTACCCGTTTTACAAGTGTTTCCAACCATTACATAATGTATTCATAAACAGCCAGAAGATAATACCTCCAGGCACATGCCATTGCATAAGCATAAGAAATGATGCGAGCTCCATCTACATACATATACGTACTTTTCTCCTGAAAGCTGCGCGGCCCAGCCTCAGGCTCAGGCGCCCCAGCTTTGGACCCCGATCAAGGTCATAAGCGTGGAGTACGAAAATTTCACCAGTGGAAAGTGAAGAGTAAACCGACAAACACAAACACAAATACACACAAACCACAACCAAGACCCAACCCGAACCCAATTCACGCATTTCAACATGATTGCCCCGATCGGCGGGGAGGGGATCCGTCCGTGCTCGTCTTTGCAGCTTCACCTCACGTGCGGCAGAGCATGTCGGCTCCACCAACAACACAGAAACAACAGAGATCTCCATCTCTACCTCCACCTCCACTCCTCCGTCTTTGTCTCTCGCTCTTACTGTTGCTGTTGCTGTTGCTGTTGCTGTGAAATTTGTTGTTATTTTATGACAATCGGTAAAACGGCAAAAGTTATACGAAGGCAGGTGCCGCTCATTACCTTACCTGACACTTCTCTGGGGCACCTCTTGATGCGGATTATGCTCCGCTAAGTCGCAGCCCCGCCCATGTTTGTGCATGATTTTTTGAGGAATTTCGGTTGAATTTTACTTGTTTTTCTTTTTTTTTTGCCAGGGGTTTCGAAGAAGCGTTGTTTTGAGACGGGTTATTAAGCAGGAATGGTGGGAAACGTTTAAGGGATATTGCTGAAGTGGAAAAAAAGAATTTTAGACAAATGTTGGAAGTCGTTGAAATATAACTTTTCCAGAGCTAAAACTTCCATCCTCCCAGATAATTCTTCCCACATTCTTCATTCAATTTCAAAATCAAGTCAAATATTTCTCCACTTTTTTCAAGGTACAAATTTCCTCATTTTACAATTACGAATTCCCTACCGTATTGTAGCATTGAGAAATTCCAAATATTAAATTTCAAATTCAAATTGCTCTACGTGCATTTGTTCACAGCTAAAAATAGCAACAACAAAATAATAATGAAAATTATACAAAATTAAGCAATCCATTTCAAATTGGAAACACGTCTTCATTTAGCTTCTTTCTTTTTTAGGCAAACATAATTTATTGAATTTTTCGTTGAACTTTATGTATTACATGATTTGTTCAGTTCAGGTCACTTTGAAACATCATCAACATTTAATGATTATTTCTGTGGGCATATTTATGTGATAAGGAACTGGGAACTGGGTCCAACTGTCAATATATCAAGAGCTGCTCGGCTGCAAAGCCTATTCAAAAATTACCGCATCGCAAACAGACACATTTACGCAATGGGTTCCCAGACGACGGACGGGACTCGACTCGGACTGAAACTGAAACTGAGGCTGGGACAAAAATGGAGATGGAGACGAGACTGTGCTGGGGACTGGGCCTGGGCCTGGCCAATTTGTCGATGAGTTGGGTAAATATTAAAGGAGAAAGTGCCGTCGCTGACGGTTGGGTTGTTCGTTGTTTTTCATATTCGAAAATATTTTTGCACAAGTTACATATTGTTTAATTGTTTGCACAAAAAGAGAGTAGTTGTCCCAATTTCCACAAGTGTCGATAATTTATGCAAACATATTTCGGAAATAGTTACTTACTTGTGCAAAAAACCATCTGAACTTTGTTTATTCGTATGGATTTCCCCCTTAAATGTTTGGACTCAATGTCACTTTTGGACTGACCAAAGTTAAAAACTAAATTATCCGGCATGGCAACAACAACTACTCACACTATTTATTATTTATGTCAGATGCGATATTCCATTAAAAAAATTGTGTAATTAAAGTTTGCTTTATGCTTGGGCCGTGATATGTTTTTAAATATTTGTATTTGCTTGCTTATTTTAGCATTATTTGCTATTGCTTAAATGCAAATTTTATTTTTGGGTACAGGAAGTACAGCAAAAAGATCTGGGTGACCCAAAGACCTTGTCTAAAAGAGGAAATGATGCAAAGTTCGTTTGTTGGGGGATCACGCCACGAACGATAACGTACCCTATGCCTATCATTTGCTTGGAAATGTTCTCAAAATGGGAATTTACCCCCAACAGATTGGCGTTTATCAGTTGCCAATATTTTTCTCACATATCTGACTTTTCAAGGCCAAGGACGTTGATATCATTTGAACTTTGGTTTTGGCACCTGACCAGACCCCAACAGCAGCGGCGCCATGGCGTCACCATTTTCTGTTGTTGCTTGAATGCTAAAATGAACATGGCAGTTATTTTAATTACAAATAATACAAATCGTATATTTCAGCAATATGATAAGGCCCCATATGCTCTGGCAAAAAACAAAAAAAAAGCGCATTGTTACGCATTGTTCCAGACGCATTTTGGAATGGCCGATTTCGTATGACTCTTTTGTTTTTGGTCAACTTTTTTGCGAAGGTGTCTGCCTAAAGGCGGACGTGTAGACGTGTAAGCAGCCCATAGGCGTACATTAATTGCATTTCAAATAGGTTTTGCGATTCAGTTGGCCTTGGGGAGGAGTCACGTGATATTTTATGCGCTGGACATCTTTATGGGGACGCTCACTTGCTTTAATTGCAAATGTACAGAGTTAATATCAATAAATCTCGTATGTCAATAGTTACTGTGATCGCCAAGTTGAAATTTTTCCGCTTAAAACGTTTGAACACATTTTAATTTAAATTTAACGACATCTTACGCTTTGCCAAGCGCTGCCACACCTGTCGATTTCCTTGTGATATATATCGATTATAGTTTCAGTCGAGTCTACAAATATTTTAAAAAACCTATATATCGATACCAGAGTTACCATTTACGATATATGATCAATTTCATCAATCCATTAAATTTCATTTTCAACGGTATACAGAAATCCGATAAAAGCAAGTATTAAGAATAAACCAGTCCAGTAGAAAATTGAATCAGCAATCATATAAAATTATGTGGGCAAAGCTGAGCGATCTATATAGCTGGGAATATTCGACGGAAGATCAAAAATGAGGAATATGTAAAATAGAACTTGAATTCGTCAGTATATTTACGGTATATTTTTTAAATGAGACGGTATGTTTCGGTATATTTCTGAGGGTAGGACGATAAGTCCGCGGTCACACTGTATTAATGCTGTGTTTTTCCTCGCCAAATTTTATTTGATCGTTTTAAGCAAAGTAAGCGTTTAAATAAACATTAATAAATAGTGACTTAGTTAGCGTTTCGTTTTCGATCAGGTAAAAGAAAAATGGGACGACGTTGCTGCGTTGCCAAGTGCCCGTCGACGTCGCGTCTCTTGGAGCACCACGGCGTCACATATCACTCGTTTCCCCTCGACCCGATAATCCGTACAATTTGGATCAAGAACTCGCGCATCAGCCTGGACAGGCAGATTACAAAGAGCGTTCTGGTGTGTTCGCGCCATTTTCGACGAATCGATTTCAATACCATACGCAATGGGAAATATTTGCTGAAGCCGCGCGTCTTTCCTACCGTTTTTCCATGGGGCAAAATGGATGCCTCTGAAATAGAGGCCGATCATCGTGCTCTGCAGCAAGTCAATGGTGATGGTACAGCCGCACAGGGTGCTTCGGCCAGTTCCGGTAATGAGGATGTGATCAAGGCAACTGTGGACCAAATTGTTTCGCAAATCATGGCCGAGACAGCGGAACGTAATGCCACGGCAGCTGTCGAAGCAGTCAGCAATGCGGAGAAAGAGAAGGAAGTGGCCAAAGCAGTTGCCGCCGAAGAAGCTGAAGGCGCTTTAAAAGAGAGTAGTTCGACTGGAGGGGATTCCGCCGATGCTCCACCAAATGAAGACGAATCAGCAACGGCTGCTGAAACAAGTGCAGACTCTCCGCTGCCTTCCGCAAACAACCAACCCAAATACAGCAATCCCCATAATTTGATAATAGGAGCACGACTCGAGGCCAAAAGCGTGGATGGCGCTTGGCTGCCCGCTCGCATTGTGGAGGTCAATGAAACGGAGCAAACACTCCTCATCCGTTTCGAACGGAACAATAAGATAAAGACGATGCCCTCCACCATGGGCACTTATCAGGAGTGGATGGCCATCAAATCGGATCGCGTACGACAACGCGTCAGCAACCGAATACTTCCCGTGTTCGAATTGGAAGAGAAATGCATGGCACGCTGGTCGGGGCCGCGTAAATTTCCGGGTACCATCAAGAAGCTGCTCGGCCACGACACCTACGAGGTACTCTTTGACGATGGCTACTCCAAGAACGTTCGTGCTGTGCACATGAACAAGCTGCCCAAACCAGATGCCGTTGAAGACGTGGAGGTTGCTCCAGCCAATACGACATCTGTGAAGAGGGCAAGCACTGGCACGGCCAGTGGCACTAGTGCCTCGAGCAGCAAGAAGAGCAAAAACTCACAGCGCAAGGATTGGCCACTGCTCGACATGTCTACATTGGATATGGGTATGTGTGCTGCACCAAGCCAAAAGCCAAAAACCAGATCCAGTCTTAACTTTCTCTTCATATTACAGATGCTCTGGGGTTGCCGGAGATACCACACGATGGAGAATGGACGTGCCACTGGGTGAACGATCAACCGATTGGCACCGAAGGTTTTCTAATTGTGGGCGAGCACCAAAAGCCCACGGTGATTGTGCAGGACTGGCGTCTGCCCACCGGCTGGATCAAGCACATGTATCAGCGTTCTAATGTCCTCGGAAAGTGGGATGTCATTCTGGTCTCGCCCAGCGGCAAACGATTCCGCTCCAAGTCAGATCTGAAAGTCTACCTCGAGTCGCAGGGATTGGTCTACAATCCGGATATTTATGACTTTAGCATTCATCGTCGTCGCGCCAAGGACATCAATGCCTATGTGTACACTGGCGACTACAGTCCACAGCCGCCGCACAAGACAAAAACAATGAATGTCTCCGCGCTGGACACTACCATGGACCAGAGCAATACAACATTGCCAGCAACGACCCCCTCGACACCCTTGTCAGCAGGTGTGCCACCCCATTCCGGGGACATTCAGTATATGGAGGCACCCGTAGCCCCATTGATGCCACCGGCAGAGCTGATGTCGCCACCAACCCATCAAACAGATGACGACCATCCAACCGCTGATATGCCAGAAGGCACTGAAAGTGGCACCTCTCTGAACGTTCCTGTGGACGATCAGGGTACGGTTCTGGTCGAGAATGGCTATGGTTCGTATAACAGATAAACATCTCAGGATTTCCTCTCTAACGACAATTTGTTTGTTAAGCTTTTATTGGCGGCCTGAAGGTTTCCATTGTGGATAATTTGTTCGTTTGTCCGGGCGAGGGATGCGGCAAAACGTATCGCAAGGAAGACGTTCTGCTTATACACATCCGACACTACCACAAGGAATTTTCCGAGTAAGTTTTGTTTAAAATTTCACTATAAAACAGGATAGATTAACAAATTTTTTCCTTCCCACAGATATGTCAGCCACTGTCCCAAGATGCAGGAACTGGCTGTTAAACGGACCCATGCCTCTTCCATTGATCAGGGCGATGCTGTGCCCAAGAATCAAATACCCAATCAGCAGTTCTTTGCCAAGATGCATCAGCAGGATATGCAGCAATCGCGATCCTTTAAGCGTCAGGGAGGGACACCAGGAGCTACACCATCGCCAAAACCGCCAGGGACTCCAACGGGTGTTTCACCCACTAAATCGCAGGCTTCGCCCATTGTAGACAAACCGGCCACGCCCTTGCCTGTGGCTGAGAACACTGTAACATCAGAGGCGATCATTACTTCGAAAATGAGTGGTGGTTCTGGTGCTGCTGCTGCAGAAATCTCCTCTCCAACATTGTCGCAGGACTCGCCACTTGGTCGCTCAAACAAACGACCACGTTATTCGTCCTCGAGACGTTCGTCTGGATCCCGCAAGAGCAATCGCCAGCGCTCACGCCGTCGTCCTGCTAATGCCACACCAACTGGATCAACCACTGCTGACCCGGACTCCCGCGAGCTGCGTAAATCCTTAAACACTCCTACGCTGGAGGTGCGCCCAGACGCCAAGAAGCGTCGAATGATGGCGGGAACAACGCCAAGCAGCTCCCCTGCCACAGCGGACACAGCCGTGTCGACACCCTCGTCCAATGATCAGGCAGACATCAACGCGGCTGTGGCTCCACCGCAGACAGAGACTCATGGCGGCAAGGCTCCGCAGTACATCAATGAGAATGGACAACTGATTCGAATTGTCCGTATGCGTCAGGAGGAGATCATCAATTGCCTCTGTGAGTATGGCGAGGAGGATGGCCTGATGATCCAGTGCGAGCTGTGCCTGAGCTGGCAGCATGGGGGCTGCAACGGCATTGTTAATGAGTCTCAGGTGCCGGACAAGTATGTCTGCTATATCTGCCGCAATCCCCCACGGGTGCGCAAGTCGATGCGGTACAAACACGACCAGGAGTGGCTGTTTGATGGCAAGCTGCCAGCGGCCGCGTATCACACAACGAATCCACTGACAGGTAAACAATCGGAGCTGCTCAAGCGCTCCCATACGCTCACTGGCAATCTGCTGGATGCCAAACGCACGATGCATTCGCTGCGGGTGAAGATGAACATTTCCCGCAATCGCTGCCATCCCAAGCTGTATCTGTGGGCCAAGAAGTGGGATGAGGACCAGGGCGACGCCTCAACGACACCATCGAAGCGTCCCAAGCCAGAGCAACCTGGTTTTCCCCATATCCCACAACCCGAGGCCGCTATCGATCCCGAGGAATGTCAGTTTCGCTTAATCGAGCATGTAAAAGTGCAGCAGTCCCTGGTCCTAAATCGTCTCAACGAAATCGAGGCCGAAATGGATGGTTAGTAGTTATCGGCGTGGAAATAGATCAGAATATTAAAGTTCCTTCCATTTCAGAGCTAGAAAACGAGGATATCCTTAGTGATCTGAAGAGCGCGGACATCTCGGTGACCAAAGAGGCCGTGGCCACATTTGTCAGGGAGCTGGAGACGTTGAAGCGTTTAGCTCGTCTCAACTATGTGGGCAATGAGAATAGTCTTAAAGACAAGGAAGCAGGAGCCACGGCAAATCAAACATTTTAAGATTTCTATGTTTAAATGATTGATAAATAAGAGATCCAGGAGAAGCCTCTTTGTTTTATCTCTCGCTCTCTGTGAGACAACAAATAATTTTCAACTTAACTTGCATTCAGAATAAATGTTAAACCCTAACGTATACTATTTCTGTACCTGAACGTATCAATTATACGGCTCATGGTTCATCTTTATCCATTTATCCATTAAGAGAATTTGTTAAAACTTACCATTGCAAAACCATGGCATTCGGTCTTCGACGGAAGTTTTGCTATGGACTATTGGTATTCTCTCATTGCGATAGCTTTGTTTTATCGTGTAAATGCAGATGACATTAACAACGAAGAAGTTTTGGCCACAAACGTAGAAAGTTCTACGGCTTCGATGGGAAGAGACACTGAGACTGTCTCTACTCGGTTTCCCTATATAGTATCGATACAGGGGAACACCCAAGGATACTACAAGCATCTCTGCGGTGGTGCCATCATCGATGTCCAGTTCGTGTTGACTGCTGCGCATTGCGTGATGACCCCAACGCCCCTCGAGTTGGCTCAATTGTCTGTTGTGGGGGGCTCCAATACATTGAACAGCGACAATGAGACACGCTTTGCAGTTATCGGGATGAAAATACATCCGGGATTTAAGATACTCCGCGGTCATGACATCGTCTTGCTGCGTGTAAAGACGAAATTCCAGTTTGACAATGTTCAATTTGGCAAAATTAATTACAAAGTAGTTATTCGTCGAGGTGGCGGCATCAATGCCACATTTTTAGGCTGGGGACGAATGAAACAGGGCCACAAAAAGGATTTGGATTTGGTGCCCTTCCAGACGATCAATGATGAAGTTTGCCTGAAAAATCACAAATTCATCTTTCTCACTAGCTCAGAGATCTGTGCCATTCACACAGGAACTACACGTGGCGCCTGTGATGTGAGTAAAACTACATATGTAAATAGTATACATTTTATTAAAATAAGAAAAAAACTCATTCCAGGGCGATTCTGGTGGACCCTTGGTAGATGCTAACAAACAATTTCTGTATGGCTTGCTTTCCTATGGCAGAAAGGCTTGTCAGATGGGAAAACCATATGCATTTACCCGCATCAGCACGTATGGGGATTGGATAAGAGATGAAATGAATGAAATGCTTTTGCATTAGAAAAAATTAAATTTGATTTTCCGCGCAAATAAAAAACAGTGCTCTAAAAGCTTTATAAGCACCACTAATACGATATTCTTCCTATTAAATATCGATATTAGCCTTTAACATTGCTGAGAGCACACAGTGGCACATTGTGTAAAACTTGGTCAGAAATGGGAATTATCAGCTATGGTGTTGTTTAGTTCATCATAAATAATAAATAATTGATTGCGAAACTTCAAGCCGCTGCTGGAGGTTGACCTCCCTCCAATGATAAAATATTTTATATAAAATTATATATGTATTAAGGAGTTTATGTAAATTATATTAATAGCTTTCTTTCGGGGCTTCGGAAATTTACAGAATTGAATTTATGATCAATTCCTTATAATCGAACAAAGTAGTACATACTAGGAAAACATTAGGAAACACTAAGTTTTTTCCAAAACATGGGCTACTTGCGTCACTGTGCAACGGCAGTTTTTTACAGTGACTTGCAAGTAGCAGAATATCGGACCTATATATCGATACATATTAGCCATCCCTAATCGACAATCGCCGGGTCTGAAGAAAAGCACAACAAAGGAGCGCTGCGAGCAACAATTGGATATAAATTAAACATTGGGACCTAAGAATTCTTAGTCTGTAAGTGACTGCGACTGTTAAACAAACACGAACGATATGTGGACTAGCATTTACCACTTCTTTCGCCCCCCCAGATACTACGACATGACGGACCCGGCACCGGCCACCAAATGTGATGAAGCGATTGCAAAGTTGAAGGAATTTGGCTATGCATTCGATGAAGGTAAGTGAGATAGTTAATTAAAGAAACCTATTAACTATAAAAAAGTGTGCGTAGGTGGTGTACTGCGTCAGATCGATCCAGCCACTGGGAAACCGGGCAAGGAGCCGTACACCTACGACATTAAGGATGATGCCGACGATAATGAGAAGCATTATCAGAATCTTGCTGAGGTATGTATCCCAATAGATACTTCCATGTAAGCTTATTCCAATCACATAATATCTCTAGCAAATACCGAACATTATCTATGCGCTGCTGGAGAAGAGTGGCCTGAGTCGCACCTACGTACCCTTTGGCAAGCCTCCAGATCGCTCGTCCTTTGTGTACTCCCAACCAGCGAAGTTGGCGCAGTCTAAGAAGTTACTCGTGCTCATTCATGGCAGCGGAGAAGTCCGAGCGGGACAATGGGCAAGGAGGTGAGTAGTTCTGTGCATTGATAAGAGGCTAAGGGGAAAAAGCAATGCTCCATATGGGACGGCGATAAGTAATTTAAGCCCCAGGGAAGGGAAACACTTGAGTGAGCCACACAAAACCATAAAATACAAAAAAAAATATTTAACTAATGTATATTTTCACAGCCTTATCATCAACAATTCTTTGGATCATGGATCTCAGATGCCGTACATACGACAGGCACAAAAACTGGGCTATGATATCCTAATCACCAATACAAACGATTGCAGACGGTTTTATAATGGTAAAGCGAATCCCATTAAGGGCGTGGAGACTTCCACAGAGCATGCCAAGTATGTGTGGAAGAATATTGTATTGCCATCGGACCCAGAGAGTGTGGCCATAGTAGCACATAGCTATGGAGGCTACGTGACCATCGATTTGGTGAGATACTGTTGATGAAACCACATTCAAATAAATTGTAATATTTTCTCTCCCTTCAGGTGAATAACTTTTTGGACTTCTTCAAGGAGAAGGTCTTTGCAATCGCTCTCACTGATGCGGTTATTGGTAGTCCTCAGTCCAACTGCGAGAATTACCTGCAGGAAGTGACCTGTGATTGGGTGACAAGCAACTCTCCGCTGGACACGCCAATTTCCTCAACAAGGGATAAAATACGACGTGTTTCGGCTGGTCATACCAAGCATGAGTGGACCTCGTACTCAGCCATGGATTCCGTCTTCAAATTCTTTGAGGAAAAGTATGAGCAACGTACGAAAGTCAAGTGACAAGGAGACATCCCTATCATGCAGCATTTTTATACATATATCTTGAAGATGTGAATATAAATTATATTTTACCGCCTGACACTTATCCCTTTTCTCTAAGGACAAACACAAACTATCGATTTGTAATGCATAAATCAAGCAAACGTACACTGTCCACTGCCCATCCACTCGGATGTGTCACTAACACTGTACATCAGGGCAATTTAATTTGATTTTCGGCACTTTGGCACATTCCATGCGAGTTAATCATATTGATGGCTCTGATGTATTGCTCTCGATAAAACAAAAGTCTCCCGCTTGGCCCATCAACATCGGCCACAAAAAAGCCATCGAGCCAAAACAAATTCCCCAAAGCACAGACGGATAAGGAAGGGCAACTTCAGCTTGGCCAGCTGCATCATACACATTCTTGGGGTTGCCGTTGCCCCCGGGAGTCCTTTTTCCATTGGCTATAGTTACCCCTGGTCTCGGTCACATCGTTTAACTAAAGTGCGTCATAAAAAAATGACTTGACGTGGTTTGATTTGGCTTCCAAGTTATGTAAACAAAAAATTGATGGATATGCAGGGAATTCTGTTGATGAGAGAAGCAGTTACAAAAGAAAGTGTATGTCTTGAGTGTGATTTTTTTTGAATAGTTTCAGATATAGGGTGGTCTTTAAGATGCGCTATACTCTTTTATAATCAGAAAAGTAAATATATCATTAGCAAAATTAAACAGAATAAAGAATAAATAAAGCCCCCTATTTGAGTGTAAATATGAAAGGATGCCATCGGAATGCTTTGAAGATAAAGATGGCTTAATCCAAGCCAAGAGAAAGCACCTCCAAGAATAAAAAGAGATCACGAATATAAAAGATTGGGGAAATTGTCCATCAATCTGCCTTAGATCTACTCATACACTTCCATTAGGAAATAAAAATTGTCATTTACTAAAATTATTAATTATGTGCAACCCATCTTAATCCTCTTTGTGCAACTTTAAAGACTCCCTCTCTCTGCAGATTTCTTTCTTTTGGCAGGCTCACAAAAAGTGCAACCGAAGAGGTAGAGAATGAGGGAGAGCCGTTTGTCTTTAGCATTAAAACGAACTTAATACCCACAAAGTGAACCAGGAGTCCCCCAGACCCCAGATGCCAGACCAAAGGCAAGGGAGAACAGACAGCGAAACGGTTGGCTGAATGGATTGTGGGGCTTGGGAGGTGGCTAAAACCAGCGCAGCAACCTGGCAACCCTACAACATCGCCAGGTCCTCGTCACCTGCCCGTCCCCCCAAAACCCATTCGGCAAACCCCCTACTCGTATACATTATCGCTGTCATGGCCGCAGTCATGGCTTCTGCTCCACCTTAGACATTTTTATATGTATTCAGCATCGTTGTCGTCGTCGTCCTATGGCAGCTTGCTATCTACACTTTGACTCCACTGCACCCTATACACACACAGATACGCAATCCCCACACACAGACACGCTATCCACACACAGATACACACATTGATAGACGACAAGGATGGCACCATACTACATGTAGCTTAGAGCAACTGAAAGAGAAAGAGTCCAGAGTTCGTGTCGCCTTCGCCTGCTAAAAGCTTTGCACGAGTTCAGGAATGGGTCATGCGCCTGGAGCCCGCATCTAACATATATAAAATGGATATATAAACAGATACGTATCATATACATACATATATGTATATCCTATAAAGAGCAGTAAATAAGCTGGTGCTGAAGTTGACTTTGTAATCGTATTGGTTAAGTAAATAAAAACAAATGCTTCTTTAGCTTTTGTAATATTTCACATTAAATTCGAGCCCAATTTACACAGAAAATATCCCTTACATGAGTGCTTCTTGCAACGTCTAGCAATTACTTAAAATAATCCTTTTCCTTATGGCTATTTGATCAAATCTTAAACGAAACTCATCCCTCACTTGTTCTTACTCTGATCCCTCAAAAACCCTTTAACTGTTTGTGTGGATGGGGGTTAAGCATTGATTGCTTGGGTTAATGTTCCCCCAGATTTTCATTTAAGATTGCATAGAAATTTATTTGGTAATTTGTATCTTTGGTTTAAGCTTAAGCAAGAAAAGATTCGAGACTATAATATGTATGTTTGTAAGTTTAAGTTCTAAACATAGACCATCTCAAGGAAGTTACAAGAGTACTTCTCTAGAAAACAATTCTGTTTAATAGTGTATCACACTATATAAAAAAAGAACTTCAATTTTCAAATTTCACTGCATTTCCTGCAGAAATTTCAGCAAAAATCTTTCCAAAATGAAAACTGAATCGTTAACAAAATGGCCCATTTGCCATAAATCATTTTGATATTTTTACACTATTCCGATCAGGCTGGACTAATGAATATCTTCATAAATCAAAACTCAAAAACCGCTTTAATTTTTTGGCAGGCATTTTTTTTTAACAATTTCCGCTGGAGGGAAATATGTATTATTGTGCGTTACTTTATTGCTTGAAAAGTTCAAGCGATGTCATTCAAAAAGTCATAAATAATAATGTTTTCCAATAAATGTTCACATATGAGTGGGCACACAGTGAAGTGAAGGACACCCATGCACACATGGAGGACGGTGGAGAAGTGCAGGAGTATCAGGACCCAGCGCAGGAAGGACCACGTTCAATCCCAGTCCCATTTGGTGCTTCAATGGAATGACCGTTCATCGTTGAACCCTGCCTTGGGTTGACTTTTCCCCTTCTCTCTCTTTGAATTCTTTCTTTTTGGCGCCCAACCGTTGGGCCCAGGGGCCCCTGTAGGTCTCATAACTTACAAGGTCATTTCATTGCACGCAACCATTAAGGATTTTCATTTTTTCCCAAAAGAAAAAGAGAGAGAGAGAGAGAGAGAGAGAGAGAGACATTTCTGATTTTTTTTCTGTTGTATAATTTAATACTCGTGTGTGACGAATTTTTATGGCTGACAAATGATTGATGCTCTTCTGCCACTTCCTGTAAATATCATTAAAATTATCCTGGCGAGGGTGTGGTCTTCTCCAAAGACGTTTAAAGTTTTCTCTTGTTATTAAAGACCATTCCAATCCCGAACAATAGCTGGCGGGATCTTGTTCTTGCTGGCATGGAGGGTAAAGTGCTGAAATGCAGGTTTAACGCAAAAATAATACGAAATAAGATTAGATAGCATTGTGTCTTGAAGCAATGCTCCTTTGCGGGTGGTCTCTGCTCTCAGAGTTGGGGTCTTAACCGAAAAGAAAAACAAATAATGTTACAAATTGCAGCATTTGCACCCCTTTCGCTTGAGTGGGGTACAGTGGGACAAAATGTGTGTCAAATTGGTGTGGGTTTAAATATCTTGTGTTTAAGTATATGATATTTTTAGGGGATACATCCAAACAGATTTCCTATTTTAAATACAAATTCTCTCACAGCTTTCACCATGCTTATCCCACTGTGCCAAGGAGGCAGTGGAAAAAATTGTAAAATCCAAACTCTTCCGCCGCCCCCGAAAGACCACAAATCACAGGGAAATGCAATAACAAAGGGAACCCTCTGGCCCTTGCGGAGTGTTCAAGTTATTTGCGGTTTATGTCCTTGTTGTTGGGGGCTCCTTTATTCATGTCGTTGAGGCGACAAAAAGGACCTTAAAGCCAATAAAACGATTTTTTCGCCTCTATCTATGAATTGTAAATGCTTTTGCCGAAAAGGACAATTGAAGTGGTCGCGTCCGGTGACAGCTTTGCCTGGATCTCCGCGCCGTTTGTTCCCTTCGCGATTTAAGATAATAGCATCATCAACACCACTTCAGTACGGATCCAGAACCCAGCATCACTCCTAAGGACTAAGGGTGCAGGACTTGTCTGGGTTCCAGGGTCTAAGGATTTACTTTGGTGTAGGCGTTGCTTGGGTTCTGCCCAATGGCTTCGGGATTTTCACTACGGACTTCGATGATAACAACTTTGTTGGCTAATTTGCATTGGCCGTCCTCTGGGGCGGGGAACTGACAAGAAAACTTAAAGCATTTTCAAGTTGTTCTCCCACCGAGTGACAGATTTTTCACGCACATTTAAAAAACATTTAAAAAACCATTAAATGTTTTTCCAACAGCTCGTTTTTTTGTCGCGTCATTGTCTGTGCGTCACACCCTCCATTTTTTTGGGGAATTCCTACTTTTATTTTTTGTTGTACTTTTTATTTGTTTTGTGCGGGGGGTTTCCAGAACATTTCTGCCTTGGCGGCGCTCTCTAATCTTTGCGCCATTTATTTACACTTGATTAACACGCGACTGACATTTGTTTGACTTTTTCTTCTCTCCGTTGAAATTAAAATGCGGAACTCCACTGGGAAAAAAATGAATACCAAGAGGCAAGCCGAAGTTTTGAATACCCTTATGGGAATAGTGAGAGAGAGGATCGATGGTTAGCGGAAGTTATATAAGCCTTATGGGAATAGTGAGAGGATCGATGGGGAAAAATAATTCTATAATAATAAAATTGTATCATGGAAATGGTAAATGGAATCTTGCATGTATTTATTTTATAGAAAATTTATATACATACCTACATATGTATATAGTTCCGTCGTATTTGAATTTAAGAAATATGGGGACATTCTTAGATCTGCATATAGTATAATTTTCTGAATTCTTTGAATACCATGTCTAATTCCAAAATATTTCAAAAGTTTATATCCGTTATGAAGCGATGACTTTTCCATTGAAAGCAAAATCACAATGCATTCTTTGAGGGTATTCAAAAATACATATAATATACATATATAAATACATATATACATATTGTATGTATACCAAAGTCAGTCCCTTGTGTGTCACATTTGCTGTGTGGGCTGCCTTTTTGGCTTTTGCTTTTTTATTCACAAAAATTATTCATTTGTGGAAAATTGTGACGTTGGTCGTGGGTCCACGGCCGCAGGCCAAACTGATTAATAAACCAAACGTCAAATGCACACAATGGCCACGCATCAACGGAGTCAAAGTTTGAGCCGGAAAGAGGAACGGGGGAGACGAAGATGGACACGGACACTGAGCCACCACCCCCTGGCATCCAAGTAGCGGCCACAGCTGTCAACTGTGCTTCATATACAAATGTGA